GTTAAAAGAACAGGGGGAAATGTGCTATAGCTGGCCTAGAGTTAGAGCCTGAACAACACTATTTTATAAAGACAAAGCTGTTTTTAAAAAATAAGTTGTAACGGCTGCCCCATTCTCCTCACAATAACTGCTGGCCTTGGCTTCTGTAAATAAAACTGCTAACTTGCTCTGCAAAATGCTCACTATGTAAAGCTGCTTACCTTTTCTTATCAGTAACTGCCAGAATTGCTGGCCTTTGTTTACTGGTAATGACCAGAATAAGCAGCCCAAGCTAATTCCATCCTGGACCCTGCGACTTGTAATAAGTAACTAAGATCTGTGGATTCCACCACTTATCTTGACTTCTGTAAACCACTTAGGTAACAATCTAAGTGACAACAAGTCCCATAGCCCTTGGAATGTCTGGACCCACACCCTCCTCTCTGCCCAGGAGGTGATTTATGGAATCCCCTAGCCCTCAGAATGTCTGAATCCCTTCACCCTCACCCCCACCCCACACCCTCACCCCGGAGGTGGGCATAAAAAGGTCTTGTCACCCTCCTTATGGGGCCACGGGTTGGAGACACGTGAGTCCTCTCTGGTCGCCGGCAATAAAGACCCTGCAATTTGGCATACTTTTGTCTTGGTGTTAATTTTATAATCTCGCATTTCAATACTTCAGTCAGGAGTTCAAGACCAGCCTGACCAACATGGAGAAACCCTGTCTCTACTAAAAATTACAAAAAATTAGCTAAGCGTGGTGGCACATGCCTGTAATCTCAGCTACTCAGGAGGCTGAGGCAGGAGAATTAGTTGGGAGGTGGAGGTTGCAGTGAGCCTAGACTGCACCATTGCACTTCAGGGTTTAATGGACTCACAGCTCCATGTGGCTGGGGAAGCCTCAAATTCATGGCAGAAGGTGAAAGGTATGTCTTACATGGCAGGCAAGAGAGAATGAGAGCCAAGTGAAAGGGGAAAACCCTTATAAAACCATCAGATCTCATGAGACATTCACTACCACAACAGTATGGGGAAAACTGCTTGCATGATTCAGTGATCCCCCACCAGGTTCCTCCCACAACACATGAGAATTATGGGAGCTACAACTCAAGATGAGATTTGGGTGGGGACACAACCAAACCATATCACTTGGCATTTGAGGAAATAGCAGAGGCAGGAAGGTCACCCTCAGACCTTCTTCTGCCCTGGTACCTGAAGCAAGCCATAAAAGAATTCTCTTGCTTTTCCTCTGGAGATAAGACTCTCAAGTGAGAAGTGCCTTTCCCATACCCAGAGGAACAAACACTCTTCTTGTCTCCTGGGATATGACAGACCAAAATAAATGCCCCTTTATCAACTAAGATAGACCCTAAGGTTAAGAAAACAAAAATTGTCTGCGGGTCAAGGGTTCAGAGATCAGTTGGCATGGCAACTTCCCAGATTCCTAAGGCTACCAGAAAAACTACACTCATGGCCCGGTGAGGTGGCTCACGCCTGTAATCCCAGCACTTTGGGAGCCCGAGGTAGGTGGATCACCTGAGGTCAGGAGTTTTGAGACCTGCCTGACCAATGTACAAAATTAGCCGCACGCGGTGGCGCAAGCCCTAATCCCAGCTATTTGGGAAGCTGAGGCAGCAGAATCACTTGAACCGGGAAGCGGTGGGGAGAGGGGAGAAGGCAGAGGTTGCAATGAGGCGAGAGTCCGCGCACTGCTGGCACCCCAGTAAGGGCGGGAAGCACAGCGCGGGCCCCCAGGCCTCGCAGGAGGCGGCGGTCGGGGCACGCCGGGGACCAAACCAGGCTTTGGCTCCCGCGGGGACCAGGACCTGCAGGGTTGTCCGCGGGAGCCAGGATTCTGAGTCCCCGACCCGCTCCCTGTGCGCCAAGGCTGCGGGGACTTCGCCGCCGGAGCTAAGGCACCCCCGGGATCCCGGGGTCCACGCAGAAGGCGGCTGTGGGGAAGTTCGCCGGGCAGGGGCTTCGGGCTCGGGCGCCTCCTCCCCGGCGGGACCCCCAGTTTGCAGTCTCAGTTTGGCGACAGCAGGCGGGTAAAGACCGACGTGGGGCTGGACGCGGGAACGCGGGGACAGTGGGCAGGGGGGCGGTTCCGGGGAGACCGGGGGCACAGAGAGACCGGCGTGGGGACAGGGGAACGGGTGGGCGTGGTGAAGGACGAACGGGGACACCGAAGGACGGGGTCCGGGGCCGATGGACGGAGGTACCCAGGACCTGCGGACTCGGGGGCGCCTGGGCGACTGTGGGTGCAGCAGGGCGGACGCACGGATAGCGGACGGACAGACAGGCCTAGCCGCCTTTGGCCCGACCCCAAGACCGCCGCGAGCCCCGAGGCCCCGCGGCCTCCCCTCTGCCCTACCTAGGGCCAGCATGTAGCCCTCGAAGTTGTCGCTGCTGAGCAGGGTCCAGGTACCGCTGAGATCGGCGGGCATGGTCAGGGGTCGCCGGACAAACTCTGGCGGGAGGCTTGGGCCGGACCCTATAAACCAGGCGGGGAGGGGCGGGGCCGGGGTGGGGGCCGCGCGGGAGGCGCAGGTGACGCTGCGTGGGGCTCTCTCGCCGCTAGAAGCCGCCGAGCTCCTGGCCGCCTCCGCCCCGTGATCCCGGCTCTGCCCACCGTGCGCAGCAGCCCCCCACTCCGTTTTCTTTGGGGCTTCCTCTCCTCCTGCTTTCTCATGGGCACGCGCCAGACTGTTCCGGGCCACACTTTGTTTCTTGCTTACATGTTAATGACCAATGGAGGACCTTCAAACTCATGGCATTGAATAACGGCAGCTTCAAATAACAATATTCCCCTCAACGTAACTCTCACGGTCTCAATAAATAAGAGTCTTACTTAACACCTTCCTTCCTCTCTTTCTCTCTCTATCTCCTTTCTTCCTTCCTGCCTTCCTTCCTCCCTCCCTCCCTCCTTCCTTTCTTCCTTCCTTCCTCTCTCTCTTTCTAGACGGAGTCTCGCACTGTCGCCAGGCTGGAGTGCAGTGATGCGATCTCGGCTCACTGCACCCTTGGCATCCTAGGTTGAAACAATTCTCTTGCCTCAGCCTCCTGAGTAGCTGGGACTACAGGCATGCACGCCCACATCCAGCTAATGTTTTGTATTTTTAGTAGAGAAGGGGTTTCACCATGTTAGCTAAGCTGGTCCCTGACCTCAGGTGATCTGCCCATCTTAGCCTCCCAAAGTGCTGGGATTACAGGCATGAGCCACTGTGTCCACCCTGATTATTTATTTGTTTATTTATTTATTTTGAGACGGAGTTTCGCTCTTGTTACCCAAATTGGAGTGCAATGGCACAATCCCGGCTCACCGCAACTTCCGCCTCCTGGGTTCAAGCAATTCTCCTGCCTCAGCCTCCCGAGTAGCTGGCATTACAGGCGCGGACCACCATGCCCATCTGATTTTTGTATTTTTAGTAGAGACGGGGTTTCACCAGGTTGACCAGGATTGTCTCGATCTCTTGATCTCATGATCCACCTGCCTCGGTCTCCCAAAGTGCTGGGATTATAGGCGTGAGCCACCGCGCCCGGCCTATTTTTATTTTATTTTATTTTATTTATTTATTTTTTGAGACGGAGTCTCACTCTGTCACCCAGGCTGGAATACAATGACATTAACTTGGCTCACTGTAACCTCCGTCTCCTGGGTTCAAGCAATTCTCCTGCCTCAGCCTCTTGAGTAGCTGGGATTACAGGCACCCACCACCACATCTGGCTAATTTTTGTAATTTTTTTAATAGAGGCAGGGTTTCACCATGTTGGCCAGGCTGGTCTTGAACTCCTGACCTTAAATGATCTGCACACCTAAGCTTCCCAAAGTGCTGGAATTATGGGCGTGAGCCACCACGCCTGGCCTGATTATTTTGTTTATTTATTTATTTATCTATCTATCTATTTATTTATTTATAAAGATGGGGTTTCACCATGTTGGTGAGGCTGGTCTTGAACTCCGACCTCAGGTGATCCGCCCGCCTTGGCCTCCAAAGTGCTTGGATTACAGGCGTGAGCCACTGTGCCCAGCCTGATTATTTATTTTTTGAGGCAAAGTCTTGCTCTGTTGCCCAGGCTGGAGTGCAGTGATGTGATTATGGTTCACTGCAGCCTCAACCTCCTGAGCTCAAGTGATCTTCCTCCCTCAGCCTTCCAAGTAGTTACAATTATAGGCATGTGCCACCATGCCTGGTTACTTTTTAAAATTTTTTATAGAGATGAGGTATCCCAGTGTTACCTGGGTTGTCTCAAACTCCTAGGCTCAAGCGATCCTCCAGCCGTGGCCTTCCAAAGTGCTGGGATTACAGGTGTAAGCCACTGTGTTGAGCTCAAGATTTATATGTCAATTTCTGACCTCTCCCATGAGTTCCAGATTTAAATATAATAAAAGTTAACAGGCCAGGCACGGCGGCTCACACCTGTAATCCCAGCATTTTGGGAGGCCGAGGTGATGGATCTGATCACTTGAGGTCAGGAGTTCAAGACCAGCCTGGTCAACATGGTGAAACCTCATCTCTACTAAAAATACAAAAAGTTAGCTGGGTGTGGTGGTGGGCACCTGTAATCCCAACTACTTGGGAGGCTGAGGCAGGAGAATTGCTTGAACCTGGGAGGTGGAGGTTGCAGTAAGTCAAGACCATGCCATTGCACTCCAGCGTGGGCAACAAGAGCAAAATTCAGAAGCTAACATTTGGCTGCGCACAGTGGCTCACACCTATAATCCCAGCACTTTGGGAAGCTGAGGCAGATGGATCTCCTGAGGTCAAGAGTTCGAGACAGGCCTGGCCAACATGGTGAAACCCCACCTCTACTTTAAAAAATACAAAAATTAGCCGGGTGTGGTGGCGCGTGTCTGTAGTCCCAGCTCCTGGAGAGGCTGGGGCAAAAGAATCCCTTGAACTTGGGAGGTGGAGATTGCAGTGAGCAGAGATCATGCCATTACATTCCAGCCCGGGTGGCAGAGTGAGACTCAGTCTTAAAAAACAAAACAAAACAAAAAAACCCTAACATTCGTTGAATGTTATGTGTATTATTATTTGTTGCAAAATCCTACGTCTCCAATAGTTCTTTTATTATCTCCCTTTGACAGAGCTAAAAACTGAGGCATAGAGGTTAACTAACTTGCCCAAGGTCATACAGTTGGAAGAGTCTGGATTCATACCCAGGTAACCTGCCTCCACGTTCAGTGCCACTGCTCGCCTCCTACTTGATGTCTCCACTTGGCTATTTTAAAGGCATCTGAAATTTGACACATCTAAGTTAAAAAGAGTAAGAACGAATTTTTTTCCAGCTCTCTTTGTCTCCATATATTCCACCATTAGGCACCTGGTTGCTCAAGCTAAGAATCTAGTAGATTTGCGAATTTCCATCTCCGCTGGCTGAAATCCAATCCCTTAGCAAGTCCTATTGGTTCTCCCATCTTAACCCAAGTCCCCATCATTTCTTGCCAGGACTACTTACAAAAGTCTTATATCTGGACCCACTGCTTCTCCTCTGAACCCCTCAATTCATTCTTCATAGACAGCCACCACAAGCTTTTAAGGAATATAACTCAGATCTTCTCACTCCTTGTTTACAGCCCTTCAGTATTGTCCTATTTTTCTTTTCTTTTTTTTCTTTGAGACGGAGACTCGCTCTGTCGCCCAGGCTGGAGTGCAATGGTGCAATCTCGGCTCACTGTAACCTCCACCTCCTGGGTTCAAGTGATTCTCCTGCCTGAGCCTCCCGAGTAGCTGGGATTACAGGCAGGCACCACAGCGCCCTGCTAATTTTTGTATTTTTTAGTAGAGATGGGGTTTCACCATGTTGTTCAGGCTGGTCTCCATCTCCTGACCTCGTGATCAGCCCACCTTGGCCTCCCAAAGTGCTGGGATTACAGCGTGAGCCACCAGGCCCGGCCCCTATTTTTCTTTAGAGGAAATTTGCACTCTCTCCCGTGGTTAGGTTCACAAAGTCCTTCCTGATTTGGCTCCTGGCTACTCCTCCACCAGCATTACATCCTGTCTTCCCCAGCTCAGTCACTCCAATCACATCAGTTTTGTGGTGGTGCTTTTGGGCAGAGATCAACCCCTTTCCTTCAGAGTCTTGGTATTTGGTGTTTCCTCTTTCTGGGATGTTTTCCCTCCTGGTTTTTGTCTGGTTAGCTCCTTTGGCTTCCAGCTCAAAAGTCATATTAGGGGAACAGTCTTTTCTAGTCATGGTCTCCATGGAGAGGGATTTTCCCGAAACACACCTGGCCTCTGCTCATTCTCGTAGGTTTGGAGCAACCAGGGCTGAAGGAGTGCCTGGGACATGGAACTCTCACTGCTAACATTGGAAAAGTCCCTGATAAACTGGAATCAATGCTTGCTCTTGGGGCAGCAGGCACGGAACCATTTTTGTCAACTAGATAGAGGTAATGTATGAAAAATTCTAAACCTAGGTTGGGTGTGGTGGCACATGCCTGTAACCCCAGCATTTTGGGAGGCCGAGGTGGGAGGATCGTTTGAGCCCAGAATTTTGAGACCAGCCTGAATAAGGTGGCAACACCCAACTCTTTTTTTTTGTTTTTTTGAGATGGAGTCTCACTCTGTCACCCAATGCTGGAGTGCAGTGGCACAATCTCGGCTCACTGTAACCTCTACCTCCTGGGTTCAAGCAATTCTCCTGCCTCTCCAGCTACTCCTCCCGAGTAGCTGGAACTACAGGCGCATGCCACCACACTCGGCTAATTTTTTGCATTTTTAGTAGAGGTGGGTTTTCACCGTGTTAGCCAGGATGGTCTTGATCTCCTGACCTCGTGATCCGCCTGCCTCGACCTCCCAAAGTGCTGGGATCACAGGCATGAGCCACTGTGCCCAGCCAAACAGTCCATCTCTACAAAAAATAAAAAAACTAGCTGCATGTGGTGGTATGCACCTGTAGTCCCAGCTACTCAAGAGACTGAGGTGGGATGATCACTTGAACCGGGGAGGTTGAGGCTGTAGTGGGCCATGATAGAACCATTGCACTCCAGCCTGAACGACAGAGTGAGACCATGTCTTGAAAAAAAAAATCTAAACCTAAAGTATTTATTTATTTAGAGACAGAGTCTCGCTTTGTCACCCAGGCTGAAGTGACAATTTTTTTATCACTACTTGACTCCACTCATTGCAACCTCCACCTCCCAGGTTCAACCTCCACCTCCTGGGTTCAAGCAATTCTCCGGAGTTGTGAATATGGACTATGGATTATAATAACAATGAAGGACGTAGCTGGGATTACAGCTGAGCCATTGTGCTCAGCCCTCCTGTTGCTTTTTTTTTTCTTTTTTCGGGCTTATTTTTCAGTTGGTTTAAAATTTGGACAGAAAAGTATTTAAATGTCTTCAAGAACCTGAGTCACCTTCTCAGAACAGCCTTCTGATATGTTCCTAATACTTATTCCACATCACATCTCTGCTTATGTACTTCATCATTATTATAATCCATAATTATTTTTTTCTTGTTTACTGACTGCCTTTTCCATGAAACTTTCCAGGGCAGAGACCATGTTCATCTCATTCACCACTCCAGTATCTCCAGGGTCTAGCATGGTGCCTGGCAAGTACTCAATAAATGTTTGTTGACTGACTGAGTATGACCTTTTCCAAAGGAGAAATGCCATTTTCATTGAGAAGCCAGAGTAACATCACCTTGCCCATAAGGAGCTAGCTGTTGATTCTCAGACATTGATTCCAGGCTTGGTGCAGTGGCTCACGGCTGTAATCCCAACACTTTGGGAGGCCAAGTTAGGCAGATCACTTGAGGTCAAGAGTTCAAGACAAGTCTGGCCAACAGGGTGAAACCTTGTCTCTACTAAAAGCACAAAAATTACCCAGACGTGATGGCACATGCCTGTAATCCCAGCTACTGGGGAGGCTGGGGCAGGAGAATTGCTTGAACCTGGGAGGCAGAGGTTGCAGTGAGCCAATATCACCCCATTGCACTCCTTCCTGGGCAAAGAAGCAAGACTGTCTCCAAAAAAAAAAAAAAAGTTCCAGATGACTAAGTGAACAGGATATGCAGAAATCTTACTTCCTTCCTATCCTTAAAATCTTATTGTTCTAAAACTTGGCCGGAAAATGAAAATCACAGAAAAAAACTAATAATAGTTTTAACCTTCGTGCTGGTTGGCATGGCTTCTGGCCAGCTTGAGCAAGGGTCATCTATTATGGACAAGACTGAATTTCAGTTGAAGTGGACACATATTCCACTTGCCATAGGATAAGGAGACATATTTTCCTCTACAATTCTAATATCTTTCTAGATAGGACTCAAGGTTACCTCTGGAAGGAGAGGAAAAACTTATTTGGCCAACTCCGAGCCCTTTCTTTCTTTTCGTTTGGTACTGGCAAAGTAAACCAGCAGATTACACCCAAGACTGAGGTTCTGAACCTGTATACAGGCATTGCTCCTCCTAGACAGCAATGGACGGGGATTGCTGAGGGGCACTTTATCACGGGATCACTCTTGTGTTGCTTGATGGAGTCTGATGCTGGTTCAGCAAAGACTGGCGTGGACCTTGTGGTGGACTCACTCCACACTATCCATATCTCCTCTCCCTACTGCAAGACAGCAGTGTCATTAGGGACTTAGGTCCAGCTCCTGAAGGTAGGCCTGGATTAGTTTCTGGCTAAACCAATCCCAGAAACCGTATTAGCTTTCCCAGTGATTGGCTTTAGGGAGAAGCAGGTTTCAATGACTGAACTGAAACAGCCAGTGAGATGCAATGAGGATTTTGATAGGGCTGCTGGGAAAGACATTTCTTTGATTTTTAAGAGAGCCATGGGTAGCCATAGGGAGTCACTCCTGAACATGAACAAGGAAGCCTGGCTACTGGCGACCCTCTCATAACTCAAGGGCACTAGATTTAAGACACTGTGACTAGAACAGTAGACGGATGGACAGAACCCGGGTCCTCAGTGACAATGTTGATTCACTGCACCTACAAACCTATGAAACTTCAATCCTGCCCTCTGTCTGTGCTTCTGAGTATACATGTCCTTATTGTTCAAAACACTTTGAGTTGAGCTTCCTGCTACTGGTAATGAAAAAAATTCTGATACATTTTGAGGCAGGATATTTCCCTGACCCCTTCATTGACGGGAACTGGAATGTAGCTGCGCTGGAACCAGCCAGCTGCTTTGGCGCTGGGAGGGGCAATTCCACTCACCTGGACCTGCTGTGCTGCAACCCTCATGGGACAGGGAGCATGCAGGTGAGCAGGCGCAGGAGCTGGGCTGAGCGCTTTTGGGCTCCCGCAGGCGCAAAACTTGTGGGCCCCGCAGCAGGGTCTGGTGAGCCCTGAAGCCCCAGAAGGAGTGTTATAATGCCCTTTTAGCTTTACTGCTCATGGACAGCTTAAGTGTTAACAGCTCAGTGGAGGGTCAGTATGACAGCCTTTTATACCCAAGTTCTTGTCCAGTGTCCAGGAGGAATGAGGTAGCACAAATGAATTGAAGATGGTAAGTGCGCAGAAATTTATTGCCAATGAAAGTGGCTCTCGGCTGGGCACAGTGGCTCACGCCTATAATCCCTGCGCTTTGGGAGGCCGAGGCGGGTGGATCACGAGGTCAAGAGATCGAGACCATCCTGGTCAACAAGGTGAAACCCCGTCTCAACTAAAAATACAAAAATTAGCTGGGCGTGGTGGTGCGCGCCTGTAGTCCCAGCTACTTGGGAGGCTGAGGCAGGAGAATTGCTTGAACCCAGAAGGCAGAGGTTGCAGTGAGCTGAGATCATGCCATTGCACTCCGTCTCAACAGTGAAACTCCGCCTCAAAAAAAAAAAAAAGAAAGAAAGAAAGTGGCTCTCAGTGGGAAGAGGAGCTGAAAAGGGGATGGAGCAGGAAGCTAATATTTCCCTGAAGTCCCCATCCAGACTCCTCTTCAAAGCCACACCATTAAGCTATCTCTCTAAAGTCAAGCCACTTCTTTCCACCGTCCAACCGTAGTCTCCAACATCCAGCTGCTTCTCTTCTCTCTGCTGTTTGTTTGTTTATTGAGACTGAGTCTTGCTATATCACCTAGGCTAGAGTACAATGGTGTGATCTTGGCTCAGTGCAACCTCCGCCTCCTGGGTTCAAATGATTCTGATGTTTCAGCCTCCCAAGTAGCTGGAATTACAGGTGCCTGCTACCACACCTGGCTAATTTTTGTGTTTTAGTAGAGGTGGGGTTTTGCCATGTTGGACAGGCTGGTCTTGAACTCCTGACCTTATGATCCACTCACCTCAGCCTACCAAAGTGCTGGGATTATAGGTGTGAGCCACCATACCTGGCTGAGCCTGGGGTTTTTATGGGCACAGGACAAGGCAACATTCAAGAGGGCAAACAGGGATGTAATTTCTTATTTTGGGCCATAGTATCAGGCTTTTTGGCTTGGGGTGGGGAGCCCTCACTGGGCACTTGCCCTCTTCTGGGCAAATTTCTGCCCTGAATTTCTCTGCCTCCTTTCCCTATCAATATCATAAGATACTCTTGTCTGGGCATGGTGGCTCATGCCTGTAATCCAAGCATTTTGGGAGGCAGAGGTGGGAGGAGGATCACTTGAGTCCAGGAGTTTGAGACCAGCACGACCAATTTGAAAAAACCCCATCTCTACTGAAAACACAAAAATTAGCTGGGTGGCACATGTGTGATCCCAGCGACTCAGGAGGCTGAGGCATGAACATCACTTGAACCCAAGACTGTGTCAAAAAAAAAAGGTACCCTTTCTTTTTTTTTTGAGATGGAGTCTTGCTCCGTCACCCAGGCTAGAGTGCAGTGTTGCAATCTTGGCTCACTGCAACCTCTACCTCCCCAGGTTCAAGCAATTCTCCTTCCTCAGATTCCTGAGTAGCTGAGACTACAGGTGCCTGCCAACATCCTGGCTAATTTTTTTTTTTTTGAGATGGAGTCTCTCCGTATGGCCAGGCTGGAGTGCAGTGGCAAAATCCCGGCTCACTGCAAATTCCATTTCCAGTTTCAAGCAATTCTCCTGCCTCAGCCTCCCGAGTAGCTGGGACTACAGGCATGCACCACCATGCCTGGCTAATTTTTCTTTTACATTTTTAGTAGATGCGGGGTTTCACCATGTTGGCCAGGATGATCTCGGTCTCTTGACCTTGTGATCCGCCTGCCTTGACTTCCCAGAGTGCTAGGATTACAGGCGTGAGCCACTGCACCTGGCTCCCCAGCTAATTTTTTTGTACATTTAGTAAAGATGGACTTCACCATGTTGGCCAGGCTGGTCTTGAACTCCTGACCTTAGGTGATCCACAAGTGCTTTGGCCTCCCAAAGTGCTGGGATTAAAGGCATGTCCCCCTTGGGATTACGGCCAAGGTCCCCTTTCTTCTTACTCAACTTTATTACCATTACTTATCTATTTGAGAGCGAAATTATGGTTCAGTTTTGAACATGTTTCGGTTGTTGAATATACAAATGTTAAACAAAGTACTACTTCACGCTAGCCCAGCTTATGAAGTGGGAAATAAGTAAATAAAAACTTCGAAAATCACTTGATGAATATTATTGTCTCAACAAGAAGAGTGTGGCTGCAGACTTGGGTCTTCTGCTTTGGTGACATCAGTACTTTTAGCTGCACTATTTTATTTTTTTAAAACAGGGTCTCAGTTGTCCAGGCTGGAGTGCAGTGGAGCACAGCTCACTACAGCCTCTGTATCCCAGGCTCAAGCAATCTTCTCACCTCGGCCTCTCAAGTACCTGGGACTAATGTTTTAAAAATCCTGTTAGACACAGGATCTCACTATGTTGCTCATGCTGGTCTTTTTTCTTTCCTTTTAAAACTCTAGACCAGAGTCTTTTTTTTTTTTGAGATGGAGTCTCACTCTGTCACCCAGGCTGGAGTGCAATGGTGTAATCCTGGCTCACTGCAACCTCCGCCTCCCGGGTTCAAGCGATTCTCCTGCCTCAGCCTCCCGAGTAGCTGGGATTACAGGCACTTGCCAATGCGCCCAGCTAATTTTTATATTTTTAGTAGAGATGGGGTTTCACCATCTTGGCCAGGCTGGTCTCGAACTCCTTTTCTCATGATCCACCCACCTCAGCTTCCCAAAGTGCTAGGATTACAGGCATAAGCCACCATGCCTGGTGAACTCCTGGGCTCAAGTGATCCTCCTGTCTTGACCTCCCAAAAGCTGGGATTACAGGTGGGAACCACCACGCATGACTTAGTACACTTACTTTGTTTTTGTTTGTTTGTTTTTTGAGAGGGAGTTTTTGCTCTTGTTGTCTAGGCTGGAGCACAGTGTCGTGATCTCGGTTCACTGTAACCTCTACCACCCGGGGTTCAAGCAATTCTTCTGCCTCAGCCTCCCAAACATCTGGGATTACAGGTGCCTGCCATCACATTCAGCTAATTTTTTGTATTTTTATTAGAAATGGAGTTTCACAATGTTGGCCAGGCTGGTCTAGAACTCCTGACCTCAGGTGATCCACTCACCTCGGCCTCCTAAAATGCCAGAATTACAGGCATGAGCCACTGTACCCAGCCTTGTTTTGTTTTTTTGAGACAGGATCTGGCTCTGTCACCCAGGCTGGAGTACAATGGCGTAATTTCAGCTCACTGTAACCTCCACCTCCTGGGCTCAAACCATCCTCCCACCTCAGCCTCCCGAGTAGCTGGGACTATAGGCACACACCTATACACCCAGCTAATTTTTGTATTTTTGGTAGAGATGGGGTTTTGCCACATTGCCCAGGCTAGTCTCGAACTCCTGGGCTCAAGCAATCTGCTGCCTCTGCCTCCCAAAATTCCAGGATTACAGGCATGAGCCACTGTGCCCAGCCAGTACATATTATTTTTTTTCTAAAGATGGGGTCTTGCTATGTTATTCAGGCTGTTCTTGAACTCCTGGGCTCTAGCAATCCTTCCACCTTGGCTTCCCAAAGTGCTAGGATTACAGATATGAGTCACCAAGCCTGGCTGAGCCATCACACCTGGTACTAGCCAACATACCCTTGTTTTAATGTACAAATTGGACTCTAGCATTTCTCACAATGAAGCATTTATGGGTAAAATTATACATCTGGGATTTACTTTAGAAGACTCCAGCAACTGGACTCAGTGGCTCACACCTGTAATCCTACCACTTTGTGAGGCCGAGGCAGATGGATCACCTGAGGCCAGGAGTTCGAGACCAGCCGGCTAACATGGTGAAACCCTGTCTCTACTAAAAATACAAAAATTGACTGGGTGTGGTGGTGGGTGCCTGTAAGCCCAGCTACTCAGCAAGCTGAGGCAGGATAATCACTTGATCCCGGGAGGCAGAGGTTGCAGTGAGCCGAGATCACGCCATTGTACTCCATCCTGGGCAACAAGAGTGACACTCCATCTCAAAAATAAACAAACAAGTACAAATAAAAGACTCCAGCAAAATAAAACAAGTATAGATGAAGGAAGATTGGCAAAATGTAATGCTTAAAGTTGGTGATGGGTATGTAGGGGCTCATTATACTATTATCACTAATTCTGTATGTTTGCTGTTTTCCCTAATGTTTTACAATGTAATTGTCAGGTTAGGAGAATCACTTGAATCCGGGAGGCATGAGTTGCAGTGAGCCCGAGATCATGCCATTGCACTCAGCCTGGGCAACAAGAACAAAACTCTATCTCAAAAAAAGAAAAGTTTACTGGGCAGCTTAACTTGATTTGGGAAACACTGTCCATGGCAAGTCATTTACACTTGGTAAGACATGTGAGGCAGAAATGGATCTGAATTCCAGTTCTAAAACTGAGATGACAGTTTCATTAAAGGATGGCAAGGGGACAGCGATCATCCCTGCAGAGTCAAAACGGAGAATACTGGGACCAGGCACCACCGCAACAAGTCAAAAACCCTATCTGGGTGGGGCACGGTGCCTCACACCTGTAATTCCAGCACTTTGGGAGGCTGAAGGGGGTGGATCACTTGAGGCCTAGAGTTTGAGACCAGTTTGGCCATCACGGTGAAAAGCTGTCTCTACTAAGAATACAAAAATTAGCTAGGCATGGTGGCTCACGCTTGTAATCCCAGCTACTTGGGAGGCTGAGGAGGGAGAATCACTTGAACCCAGGAGGCAGAAGTTGCAATGAGCCAAGACTGCACCACTGCACTCCAGCCTGATGACACAGCAAAACTGTCTCAGAAGCAAAAAAAAAGAAAAAAGTTAGTTATAGCCCATATCACCTTCTCCCTGTGATTCCACTGTCCTAGTTCCAAGGAACTGCTAACACTGGGCAAGTTCAGCCTAGTCCTTCTGGGCGGACTGAACACATCGGTCTCAATTCCTTGAAAGCTTCATTTGTCCTCACTTAGGGTAAATGAAAATGTCAAGATTTGGCTACAACTTCATTCTTTGAAAAGTAGTATTTGACAGAAAGTGAGATTGGGGGTGCTGGCTCTGAAGACAAAGCTGAGATTCAGGCCTAGCTTCACCATTTACACCAGTCCCCTAATTTTCCTGTTTTCTTATGATATAAGGCACTCAGGAGCACAAGCCAGGCACACAGTAAGTGTTCAGTAAATGTTGGCATTATGAAGTTCAGACAGCACCACTGATAAACTAAGTTCAGATTTCAGAAGTGGAGACTGTATGCAGCCTCACAGCTAAGTGGATGCCCTGGTGAAATTTTTAGATCATAGGCCTTTGGGAAGAATTATGAGAATGGCAGAGGAATGGAGCTCCTGTGGCACCCAGAAATAAACATTAAAGGAGGCTATTTCATCATAGAGCAACTTCTGGACTTTGAGAAAAATGAAAAGAGAGGCTTGGGTAAGGAAGATAAAAGCCCCCTCACCACTCTGAATGCTGACCTAGGGGATGCTTCCTTCTACTCTGTTGTTAGATCCTCAAGATGGCCAAAAAAAGCATTCTTTAACCTAAATCATCCCCATGGCTCAATCTCTACCCCTCTATCACCAAGGAAAACCCACTTCTCTCATCTGAAAGGTCTGCTGTTCACAAAGGCAAACACTATCACAAAGGCCCTCCATCCATCCGAACCAAGACGCCAATAAAGGACTTTTACTGCAGGTTTGTTTGCTCCATTCAAATTACACAATGTAAGGGGTAAAATTTACAACATATAAAACCCCCAGCATCAAACAAGCCAAACAAAATGCCAGCATCACACATTTCCTCTAAACTCACAGTACAAAAGCACATCATGGAAATGACGCAGGAGGGAATAAACAATGGCATATTTTCTTCACATCAGTCAGTATGTATTCCCCGGTGAAATTCATTGTTCCACTATTCAAAGGGGAAGTTCTGTCCTTGAGAACGCCCAAAATTATGCTATTACGTGGCAGCATCAGCAGCATCCTCGGCATTCGGAGAAAAAGCCAAGCTCGTTCTCTGTACAAAGCTCATTCTCTGTACAAAGTTGTTGCTCCATAAATAGTGCAACGATAGGATCAGGCCAGGCGTGACTCACGCCTGTAATCCCAGCACTTTGGGAGGCCGAGGCAGGTGGATCACCTGAGGTCAGGAGTTCAAGATCAGCCTGACTAACATGGTGAAACCCCGTCTTACTAAAAATACAAAATTAGCCTGGTATGGTGGTGGGTACCTGTAATCCCAGCTACTTGAAAGGCGAAGGCAGGAGAATCGTTTGAACCTGGAGGCGGAGGTTGCAATGACACATGATCTTGGCAACAAGAGTGAAACTCCATCTCAAAAAAACAACAACAACAAAAGGATCATTTCACCCTTACCAGGGCTCCTGCAAGGGTCTCCACATGCCTTGTCCAGTGAGATCCTGAGGTCAATACAGTCACAGCTGAGCAGAGCACGGGCACTTCTAAATAGGAAGGCACAACAGTATGAGAGAAGTTTCCAGCATTGGAACCTTCTGCAGTTCACACAGCACTTCAGATGCACTAGGTATAGTTTCCCTGAAGAAATCAGGGAAATCTGACGGCTTCATCTTGTTCAATCATTACTTTTCAGGGCTGCTTCAACTCTCTTAAACTCTAAGAAGCTAAGGAGGAGAAAAATGACTCTCATCTGTAGGATTTGAGGCTCTAGCCTTTCATTGACTTGGCAGATGGATCCTGAAACCTGCTAGCTGTCAGATTTTTTATTTATTTTTATTTTTTTTAGACGGAGTCTCACTCTGTCACCCAGGCTAGAGTGCAATAGCGCTATCTTGGCTCATTGCAACCTCCACCTCCTGGGTTCAAACAGTTCTCCTGCCTCAGCATCCTGAGTAGATGAGACTATAGGCACACGCCACCACACCTGGCTTATTTTTTGTATTTTTAGTAGAGACAGGGTTTCACCATGCTGCCCAGGCTGGCCTCAAAATCCTGACCTCAGGTGATCCACCTTCCTCGGCCTCCCAAAGTGCTGGGATTACAGGCATGAGCCACAGTGCCCAGCCAGGTGTCAGGCTTTGTATCCTCCCTGTATCTCAGAGTTGGCTGGGTGGCTTTAGTAAGTTGGAAACTGTAGCACATACATTTGTTTAAGTGTGTTTAATATTTTCCTTTTTTAAACTGCAAATTCACATCTGACTATACAATTGCAAATTTCTAAGCATTTTTTAATTCCACAGTTACAAACCCTTCATCTGGAGTGGTGTAGGTATGAAATAGAAATTGCAAAAAAGGCAAATTATTCTATTTTGTATGTATTAGAATAGTATTATAATTAATACTATTTATCCTTCTGAACCACTGTTCAAAAAAGAACAACAATAACAAAAATAATTAATACTATTTAAATGTATTAGAATAGTATGAGGAAATAGACCCTTTTTCTGCTTAAATTCAAAAATGGCAGATTCACAGCAGGCTGGAACAGAATCAGCAGGACTCTTCAGAAACACCAGAGTTTTTTAAGTCAAGTTCTCACTATTTTGCCTGGGCAGGTCTCAAACTTCTAGGCTCAAGCTATCCTCCTGCCCCAGCCTCCCACATAGGTGGGATTACAGAGCATGCCCCATTGCATCCCACTCACGTCTTCTGATTAATCTATCAATAAGGGCTAAGAGTATTCAGCCTTAGAAAATCTTTGAATGAGATCCCTCATTCTCTGTGGTTCTCTCAACGCAAGGTAGCATGATGTCATCTCTGAAGTTGTTCCTGAAGACAGATAAAGAGAGGATGAATGGCCAGGGCTAGAGCATGACTCACAGCAAGGCTAAGTGAATGTGTATAAAGTGTAAGGCAGCAGCTCTCTCCCTCTGGTGGGCATCAGAAATACCTGTGTACCTTTCTAAACATATGAGGGCTTGGACCTCCACTCCCTACACCTCCAAAGGTGGAGCTCCAGGCAGATAGGTCTTGCCAAAGTTGAGTTGACATTCTCTGTATGTGTCACAGAGAACTATTGGTACAATGTTTCTGGCAGACGTATACACAACCTTTATTTTGTGTAACTGGAGATGATTTATCAATGGTACATTTTACAAGATCACTACTGTAAGAATTCCTTTCTTAGCTGGGCTCAATGGCTCATGCCTTTAATCCCAGCACTTTGGGTGGCCAAGGCAGGTGGATCACCTAAGGTCAGGAGTTTGAGAGCAGCCCGGCCAACATGGTAAAACACCATCTCTACTAAAAATACAAAAAAGTAGCCAGGCATGGTGTTGCGCGCCTGTAATCCCAGCTACTTGGGAGGCTGAGGCAGGAAAATCGCCTGAACCCAGGAGGTGGAGGTTGCAGTGAGCCAAGATCAAGCCACTGCACTCCAGCCTAGGCAATAAGAGCTAAACTCCGTCTCAAAAGAAAAAAAAAGAATTCCTTTTTGTCTACCCTGGCTGCTGATTGTCCAGCAATAGGCATACATTAAATGTCAATTCCCTTCATAACCAAAATTAGAATTTTATTTTTTCATCACCCCCCCTTTTATACATATATATATTATATATATTATATATAATATATATTATATGTATTATATATGTATATATATGATGTATTATATATGTATTATATTATATATGTGTTATATATATTATATATGTGTATGTATTATATATATGTAGTTTATATATTATATATATATGTATTTTATATATTTTTTTTTCCAAAGTTAGAATTTTAAATGAATGTTTGCTTTTCACATTTTGCCTCTTTTATATGATAGAGTTAGGATGGACTTTTTTTTTTTTTCCAAGACGGGGTTTCACCATGTTGGTCAGGCTGGTCTTGAACTCCCGACCTCAGGTGATCCGCCTGCCTTGGTCTCCAAAATGCTTGGATTACAGGCGTGAACCAGTATGCCTGGCCAGGATGGACTATTTAACTTATTTGCAGCTAGTTTCACTGAAAATACTCTGGTTTTTGTGTGCTACTAATTTCTTCTCTTAATGTTTTAAAGATAGAGATTAAAATAAGACCATAAGGAAAACATTCATCTTAGCAACATCTGATAAAAAGAAGAAAAAAAACCCTTATTTTAACTTACCATTGATTTTTACTAAACTTTTTTTTTTTTGAGACAGAGTCTTGCTCTGTTGCCAGGCTGGAGTGCAGTGGTGCAATCTTGGCTCACTGCAACCTCTGCCTCCCGGGTTCAAACGATTCTCTTGCCTCAGCCTCACGAGTAGCTGGGACTGCAGGTGTGCACCACCATGCCCAGCTAATTTTTGTATTTTTGGTAAAGACAGGGTTTCACCATGTTGGCCAGGACAGTCTCGATCCTTTGACCTTGTGATCTGCCTGCCTTGGCCTCCCAAAGTGCTGGGAATATAGGCGTGAGCCACCACACCAGGCCAGTTTTTACTCAACTTAAGCTTTAGTTTAGGCAACAGATCACATCTTCCTTCCTCAGTTACTAACACCCAGATTGTTTCAGATCCCCAAACGGGAAGTCCTAAATATCATGCTGTAGAATTCTTATGTCTTAGCTTCTGCAGTGTTTCTCTGCAAAGGGGCCAGGATGACCCCAGCATTCCTGTCTTCACTCTCAGAGCTGTACAAATTATGATTTTCAATGTATTCTTGGACAAGATCTGGTACCAAGTAGCGAATGCTCTGGCCCCTTCTGAGGGCTCTCCGGATTTTTGTTGATGAGATGTCATTAGTGATCCATTCATTCACCACGTGAATGTTGCTCCGGTGTTTCCACAGCACATCTGATTCATAGATAAATTTCTGAGCATCATTTCCAGCCCGAGTGACACATATGAGCCCATAGTCAGCCACGATTTGGGCGATGTCTTCACTCTTCCACAAATTGGGAACAGCAAAGGACTCCAGTAAATCTGCCCCACACAGCAGCTTGACCTTGGGTGCAGCTGAGAAGAATAAAACAGAGCTTCAGGGTTTGCTTTTTCTTCCCCCCTACCTCCTCCAAGTGGAAAGGGGTTTACTTTTCTAATAACCCATTGTATCAAAATGAAGGTATACATGTGCTTTTCAAGAATGAGGGTTGGGGCTGGGATTACAGGCTCATGCCTGTAATCCCAGCACTCTGGGAGGCCAAGGCGGGTGGATCACTTGAGGTCAGGTGTTTGAGATCAGCCTGGCCAACATGGAGAAACCCTGTTTCTACTAAAAATACAAAATTAGCCCAGGGTAGTGGTGTATACTTGGGAGGCTGAGGTGGGAGAATTGCTTGAACCCAGGAGGCAGAGGTTACAGTGAGCCAAGATTACACCATTGCACTCCAGCCTGGGAAACAAGAGCAAAACTTTGTCTCAAAAAAAAAAAACAAAAGAATACGTTTTTGTAAGAATCAGATTCCCAAAAGAGATCCAGAACACCTCAAAAATTAGAGACCACTGCAGGAGAAATTAGCTCGGGTGCCTTTTACTCTCCTTCGCTTCATGAAACCACAAGGGGCATTTTCCAGACACCAAGTATGCAATATAAAATGAAAATATAGGCTAGGCTGGGCATGGTGGCTCATGCCTATAATCCCAGCACAGCACTTTGGGAGGCTGAAGTGGGCAAATCATGAGGTCAGAAGATCGAGACCATCCTGGCTAATATGGTGAAACCCCATCTCTACTAAAAATACAAAACATTAGTAGGCCATGGTGGCACAGGCCTGTAGTCCCAGCTGCTGAGGAGGCTGACACAGGAGAATTGTTTGAACCTGGGAGGCAGAGGTTGCAGTGAGCTGAGACTGTGCCCCTGCTCTCCAGCCTGGGCAACAGAGCAACACTCCATCTCAAAACCAAAAAAAAAAAGAAAATACAGGCCAGGTGTAGTGGCTCACACCTGTAAACCTAATACTATGGGAGACCAAGGTGGGAGGATTGCTTGAGGTCAGGAGTTCAAGATCAACCTGGCCAACATAATGAGATCCTATCTCTAAAAAACAAAAAAAATACACAGGGGTTTGCTCAGCCATAGAATCTTATCAGCTCTAGTCCATGAGTCCTGATAAAACATACAAACCTTTTGTTTTCGGATCTAGGGATTTCTTTTGATTAGAATCTTGTTTTTGCTCAGTCCACTTCCTCTTCCGTCCAGGCCTTTCTAGCGTAGGTGAATTCTGCTGGTGATCACAGTTACTAGCCTCCAGTTTCTCTTGATGGTGTCTATAAAACAACAGAACAATAGAATGTTCTGCTTTCTCACAATGCCCCATTAGAGTATCATTAACATGATTTATTTATTTATTTTTCTTTTTATTATTTTTTATTTTTTTTAAAGATGGGGTTTCACTGTGTTGGTCAGGCTGGTCTTGAACTCCCGACCTCAGGTGATCCGCCTGCCTTGGCCTCCAAAGTGCTTGGATTACAGGCGTGAGCCACCATGCCTGGCTTATTTACTATTTTGAGATGGAGTCTTGCTCTGTTGCCCAAGTTGGAGTGAGTGCAGTGGCAAAATTTCAGCTCATTGCAACCTCTGCCTCCTGGGTTCAAGCAATTCTCCTGCCTCAGCCTCCTAAGCAGCTGGGATAACAGGTCCACACCACCATGCTGGGCTATTTTTTTCTGATTTTTAGTAGAGATGGGATTTCATCATGTTGGCCAGACTGGTCTTGAACGTCTGACCTCAAGTGATCCGCCCCTCTCGGTCTCCCAAAGTTCTGGAATTACTGGCGTGAGCCACCATGCCCAGCCTAACTTTTTTTTTTGAGAGATGGCGTCTCACTATCATACTATCATAGAACTATACACTCAAGTGGTTAAAATGGGAAATTTTTATGTTATTTATATTTTACCATAGTTTCGTCAATTAATTGATCAATCTGCTAATAAGCTGGAATCCCCAAAGAAAGAGAATCAGTGATTATAAAACAAAATTGGCCAGGCATGGTGACTCACGCCTATAGTCCCAGCACTGGGAGGCTGAGACAGGCAGATCACCTGAAGTCAGGAGTTCAAGACCAGCTTGGCTAACATAGTGAAACCCCATCTCTGTATTATTGCCACCCTTATATCAAAATTCTTTGTTAACCCCATTGAGAGAGGACACTGACTAATTTGCCCAAGGTCATTTAACTTATAAGTATTAATAGCAGAGCCAGGACTTGAACCTCAGCAGTCTAGTCCAGAGCCCACACTCTTGACCACTGAAGAGTGTGGCTTAACACAATGCCAAGGAGAAGGTCCTAGAGGGGCAAGTGCCTGAGGCCTCAAAGGAAGGGGCTCTAAGCAGGATTTGTGTATAGCTTTACTCGGGGCTAGCACCAGGGTACCCACTGTTTACGAACTGTGCAATGTTACCCAAATAACATCAACTACATCTGTGGGATCCAACTGTGGGTCCTTTATCCCCCTAAATCCCAACCCTTCTGAACAGCTGAGTTGACCATGTAATGGGCCATAAGGTTACTATAAAGCCAGAGGGTTGGTTAGGGCTTGTAAGAGTGGCCCAGGAACCTGGTCCCTCATGGGAGAATTTTTTGCCATCAAGTAGTGGAGACTGTTCTCCCTGCCAAGTCTGAAAAGTAAGTCCTCTTAAGAGATCACTGTGCAAGATACTATACTGGCTCAGCCCCCAATGCTGCCCAGCACCCTTCCCAGAGGTCCTTGCAGCAGGTTCTGGACGTGACTGCAATTCTGCTAATGAGATTCTCTCCTGAGAGTTGTGGAAGGTAGGAGGAGGACAGATACCATCATCCTGGGGCTGTGGAGCCTGACAAGTCATCCTTTCTAGTGTGGGTGTGGTGGCTAGACTCTGAAATCCACCATCCCATCATTAACTTCAGGAAACTGAGACAGTTCAATAGCAGCAGAAGCAAAACTGGTTTGTTGAATTCTGACTATAACTTTGGAGAAGTGATCTTGACTTCCACTTCTCCAGTTACTTTTTTTTTTTGAGACAGAGTCTTGTTGTGTCGCCCAGGCTGGAGTGCAGTTGTGCAATCTCAGTTCAATGTAACCTCTACCTTCCAGGCTCAGGCAATTCTCCTGCCTCAGCCTCCGGAGTAGCTGGAATTACAGGCATGCACCACCATGCCCAACTAATCTTTTTATTTTTAGTAGAGATGGGGTTTTGCCATGTTGGCCAGGCTGGTCTTGAACTCCTGGCCTCAGGTAATCTGCCTGACTCAGCCTCCCGAAGTGTCGGGATTATAGGCATGAGCCACCACACTCAGACTCAGTTCTTTTACTTTTAAGTACTTTTTGACTAAGAACTCAAATCTCTTTCCACTTAAAATACCCAGAGTGGTTTCTATTTCCTCATCTGAATCCTAACTGATGTAGTTGGTAACTGGAAGGTTCAGAACTCTAAGAATAGATACTAAACAGAAAGTCTTTTCAGAAAGCCCTTTTATTTTAAACTCAAGATAACAATAGGCCAGGCATGGTAGCTCACACTTGTCATCCCAGCACTTTGGGAGGCCTAGGTGGGAGGACTGCTTGAGGCCAGGAGTTTGAGATCAGCCTAGGCAACATAGCAAGACCCCATCTCCAACAAAAAAAAGAAAAAAAAATTTTTTTTAATCAAAATAACATTAAGAAGTAATTTGGTGTCGGCTGGGCCCAGTGGCAGGCCTGTAATCCTAGTACTTTGGGAGGCTGAGACAGGCAGATCACCTGAGGTCAGGAGTTCAAGACCAGCCTGCCCAACATGATGAAACTCCATCTCTACTGAAAATACAAAAAATTAGCTGGGCGTGGTGATGGTGCCTGTAATCCCAGCTACTCAGAAGGCTAAGGCAGGGAAATTGCTTGAACCTGGGAGGCAGAAGTTGCAGTGAGCCAAGATCACGCCATTGCACTCCAGCCTGGGTGACAAGAGTGAAACTCAAAAAAAAAAAAAGGAATAATTAGGTGTTAGGAGGCTGAGGCAGGTAGATCACCTGAGCACAGAAGTTCAAGAACAGCCTGGCCAACATGATGAAACCCCATCTCTACTAACAATACAAAAATTAGCCAGGGGTGGTGGCGGGTACCTGTAATCTCAGATACTCAGGAGGCTGAGGCAGGAGAATTGCTTGAACCCAGGAGGGAGAGGTTGCAGTGAGGTGAGTTCATACCACCGCACTCCAGCCTAGGCGACAGAGCGAGACTCTGTCTCAAAAAAAAAACGGAGGGCCAGGTGCGGTAGATCATGCCTATCATCCCAGTACTCTGGGAGGCCAAGGTGGGTGGATTACCTGAGGTCAGGAGTTCAAGACCAGCCTGGGCAACATGGCAAAAACCCATCTCTACAAAAAACACAAAAATTAGCCAGGCATGGTGGCACACACCTATAACCGCAGCTACTTGGGAGGCTGAGGCACAATAATTGCTCCTAACCCAGGAGGCAGAGGATGTAGTGAGCCAAAATCACGTCACTGCACTCCAGCCTGGGCAACAAAGTGAGACTCCGTAAAAAAAAAAAGTAATAATAATAATAATAATTAGATGTCACTTGCTCTGGTCTCTGAACCCTTAACTAGAACTGCTTCAAAGGTATGGGCACAGAGATTTGTGACTCTCTCCAGATGCAGTCATGGAAGCAGCATACAAATCAGGCCTGTCCATGATCAAGCAGCACTTGATGCTTCTCTTCCTTAAATTATCTGCCTGTCACTTTTATACTTAGAAAGACTGATAATAATAACATCTTCCTGCAATTTTGCTTCTCTCATTTGGGGCACAGACAGGCCAGGCCAGCTTCCTCTATTTCCTTTTTTTTTTTGAGACGGAGTTTCGCTGTGTTACCCAGACTGGAGTGCAATGGCACAATCTCGGCTCACCACAACCTCCGCCTCCTGGGTTCAAGCAATTCTCCTGCCTCAGCCTCCCAAGTAGCTGGGAATACAGGCGCGCACCACTGTGTCCAGCTAATTTTTGTATTTTTAGTAGAGACGGGGTTTCATCTTGTTGACCAGGATGGTCTCAATCTCTTGACCTCATGATCCACCCGCTTCAGCCTCCCAAAGTGCTGGGATTATAGACATGAGCCACGGTGCCCGCTGCTTCCTCTATTTTCTAATAGTGATAACACATAGTAGCAAGCATACAATGTAACCTCTGACACCTCCCCCTCCCCCTGGGGTTCTAGCGATTCTCCTGCCACAGCCTCCCAGGTAGCTGAGATTACAGGCACACACTACCACGCCCACCACGAACTCCTGACCTCAAGTGATCCAACCACCCCTGTCTCCCAAACTGCTGGGAATACAGGCGTGAGCCACCACACCCGACCACAAACATCTTAAAACATAATGAAAGACACAGAGGGGCTAAGGAATACCCATCCTCTGGTACTGTGCTCTACAGTCGTATAGTAACCTTCCACAGGAATGGCTTATATGTGACAGTTTTGCAAATCTGTATGTTCACAGATATAAGCAACATGGAAACATGGTAAAAACAAGCTGCCTAGCCATTTACACAGAACTGACAAAGCTGATTCCACTATGAGTACCTTAGGACCTTAAGAGTCTCTTTCCACTCCTTCTGAAGACTTTCCCATGTATCAACTTCCACCCATTTGGAATTCTTGGTGGCAAGTTCTGCCATGATGACCCGGTGATGGGCAGGAATGAGTCCTTTCTTCTTATAGGCGTCACCAACAGGAGAGATGATGCCTTTGACAACTCTGTATCTGCCTGGATAAAGAGTTAGGTTTCACATTAGGTATAACAAATTAGATTTTATGCATGGGAAATATTATGATCAATACTATGTTTTGCTTTGTTTTTTTCTGAGACAGAGACTTGCTCTGTTGCCCAGGCTGGAGTGCAGTGGCATGATAGCTCACTGCAACCTCTGCCTCCCAGGTTCAACCAATTCTCCTGACTCAGCCTCCCAAGTAGCTGGGTTACAGATGTGTGCCACAATGCCTGGCTAATTTTTGTTATTTTTAGTAGAGATGGGGTTTCACTATGTTAGCCAAGCTGGTCTCGAACTCCTGACCTCAAGTGATCTGCCTGCCTCAGCCTCCCAAAGTGCTGGGACTACAGGCATGGGTCACCATGCCTGGGGAATATTGTTTTATAATCACTGATTCTCTTTCTTTGGGGATTCCAGCTTATTAGCAGATTGGTCAATTAATTGACTGTAATTATGGTAAAATATAAATAACACAAAAATTTCCCATTTTAATCACTTGAGTATACAGTTCTATGACAGTAAGTGCAAGCACACTGTTGTGCAACCGTTGCTCTCATTCCTAGAATGTTTTCATCTTCCCCAATTGAAACTCTGTACCTCACCTCATTCCCCTGTACAGTTAAATTTCTATTGATATTGCCAAATTACTTTGTAAAAAGCCTTAATTTTTTATTTTTTATTTATTTATTTATTTTTTTTTTGAGACAGAGTTTTGCTCTTGTTACCCAGGCTGGGGTGCAATGGCGCGATCTCGGCTCACCGCAACCTCCGCCTCCTGGGTTCAGGCAATTCTCCTGCCTCAGCCTCCTGAGTAGCTGGGATTACAGGCACACACCACCATGCCCAGCTAATTTTTTGTACTTTTTTTTTTTTTAGTAGAGACGAGGTTTCACCATGTTGACCTGGATGGTCTTGATCTCTTGACCTCGTGATCCACCCGCCTCAGCCTCCCAAAGTGCTGGGATTACAGGCTTTAGCCACTGCGCCCAGCCTAATTTTTTTTTTTTTTTTAAACACAGGGTTTCACCATGTTGGTCAGGCTGGTCTTGAACTCCCGACCTCAGGTGATCAGCCCGCCTTGGCCTCCAAAGTGCTTGGATTACAGGCGTGAGCCACCACGCCCAGCCAAAAGCCTTAATTTGTATTGTCCAACTAAAGTATATGTAAAAGCCCATTTCTCAATGTGATAGGTAAAATATATATAACTTTTTAAGTTAGTTCCCTGGTTATTAGAATTATTAGTGAGCTTTAGCATCCATCCATCCATCTACCTATCAGCATATTATATGATCATTTATGCAACAAAAAAATCTAGGACAGGTGTAGTGGCTCGTACTTGTATTCCCAGTACTTTGGGAGACCGAGGCAGTAGAATCACTTGAGCCCAGGAGCTTAACACCACCATGGGCAAAACAGTGAGATCCAGTTTCTACAAAAAAGAAAAAAATTAGCCAGATGTGGTGGCATGCCTATAGCCACAGCTACTGAGGAGGCTTAGTCAGGAGGCTCACTTAAGCCCGGGAGGTCAAGGCTGCAGTGAGCTGTGAACATGCTACTACACTCCAGCCTGTCCAGCCAGGGTGACAGAGTGAGAACCATTTCAAACAAACGAACACAAAAAATCTGTCTATACACTCAAATGTTTGCATATAAATTCATACAAAGAAGACTGGAAGGATACACATTAAACATGTCATATTATGTCATGTCATGGTGGTTCATGCCTGTAATTCCAGCACTTTGGTAAGCCAAAGTGGGAGGATTGCTTGAGAACAGGAGTTTGAGACCTGCCTGGCCAACATGGTGAAACCCCATTTCTACTAAAAGTACAAAAATAGGCCCATGTGGTGGTGCACACCTGTAATCCCAGTTATTCGAGAGGCTGAGGCAAGAGAATCACTTGAACCTGGAAGGTGGAGGTTGCAGTGAGCCCAGACCGTGCCACTGCATTCCAGCCTGGGCAACAGAGCAAGACTCTGTAGAGGTGGGGTTTCACCACATTGGCCAGGCTGATCTCAAACTCCTCACCTCAGGTAATCTGCCCGCCTCTGCTTCCCGAAGTGCTGGGATTACAGGTGTGAGCCACCATGCCCCCCCAGCCTATTCATGCATTGTTTATGAAAAATTTTAAAAGGCTATACCTGATTCTGGAGATTTTATGTATGCTAAGTACAAGCTTTCACTTTTTGCCTTAAGTAATGGGAAAGTCTGAAGTAGCTTAAGCACAGGGATGACAAAAACAAATTGCTTCTTTTTTGGGGGGAGGGTGGTCAGGGTCTTGCTCTGATGCCCAGGCTGGTGAGCAAATGTGTGATCATGGCTCACTGCAGCCTTCACCTCCCAGGCTCAAGTAATCCTCCTACTTTAGTCTGCCAAGTAGCTGGGACCACAGGCACATGCCACTATATCCGACTAATTTTTTGTAGAGATGGGGACTCTCTCTGTTTCCCATGTTGGTCTCAAATTCCTGTCCTCAAGGGATCCTCCACCTCAGTCTTCCAAAGCACTGAGATTATATTATAGGTGTGAGCCACTGTACTTGACTGTACCTTCTATTCTATAGGCCATAGCCAGATGCTCAATTCTGCCCTCATACTTCACCCTCTTTCTTGGCTAACAAGTAACTATACAAGAGAGCATGACAGCATATTTGTGCCCAGTCGATCAAATGTGTATCCTGAAACAGACCCAGGCATATTGCTTCTCTAGTCTTAAGCCACCTTTAGTTACTGCTCCTACCTGTTCCATTCAAGTAGTCCTTGGCCAGCTCAAACAACCTGAGGTGCATGTTGGTGATGGGATTGAAGGAACCACAAGCAAGGAGAACCACTTCAGTCTCTTCAGAATTTTCCATGGTAAGAACTTGAAGTTGTTGATCTAAATGAAAAACTGTGACACCTCCCTTGTTGTCTACAAAGGAAAAAAAAATACATTCAGTTATATATATATTTTAAGATGAGGTCTTGCTCCATCACCCTGGCTAGAGTGTAGTGGTGCAACTACAGCTCATTGCACCCTCAAACTCCTGGGCTCAAGTGATGCTCCCACCTTAGCCTCTTAAGTAGCTAGGAACACAGGCACATACCAATAGGCTGGCTAGTTATTTTTAAAATTATTTTTTGTAGAAATGGAGTCTTGCTATGTTGCCCAGGCTGGTCTCAGACTCCTGGGCTCAAGCAGTCCTTCTACCTCAGCCTCTCAAAGTGCTGGGATTACAAGAATGACTAACCACGCTCAGCCCAGTTAAAGATCTTTTGATGTCCTTCCATGTTCTCATTCCTAATAAAGGAATGAAAAATATTTGACTTTGGCCAGGAGCAGTGGCTCATGCCTATAATCCCAGCACTTTGGGAGGCTGAGGCAGGTGGATCACAAAGCCAAGAGATCGAGACCATCCTGGCCAACATGGTGAAACCCTGTCTTTACTAAAAATATAAAAATTAGCTGGGCATGATGGCGCATGCCTGTAACCTCAGCTACTTGGGAGGCTGAGGCAGGAGAATTGCTTCAACCTGGGAGGCGGAGGTTGAGTGAGCTGAGATTGCGCCACTGCACTACAGCCTGGCGGCAGAGCAAGATTCCATCTCAAAAAAAAAAATTTTTTTTGGCTTCAATCATGATGCTAAGTGACCTGTAAAAATGCTTCCATGTCTATCCCTCCTTTTCATTTTTTTTTTTTTTCAAGACGGAATCTCATTCTGTCGCCCTGGCTGGAATGCAATGGCCTGATCTCAGCTCACTGCAACCTCCGCCTCCTGGGTTCAAGCAATTCTTCTGCTTCAGCCTCCTGATTAGCTGGGATTACAGGTACACACCACCATGCCCAGCTAATTTTTGTATTTTTAGTAGAGACAGGGTTTCACCATGTTGGTCAGGCTGGTCTCGAATTCCTGACTTCGTGATCTGCCCACTTTGGCCTTCCAAAGTGCTGGGATTGCAGGCATGAGCCATCATACCCGGCCCATCCCTCCTTTTCAATGTGAATTTGCAGCTCCTACCATGAAGAGGTGTAAGTGACTTCCCCACATTTTTGACTTGCTTTTGCCAAGAGAATGTGGCACAAGTAATAGTGTGGAGGATGCCAGAGAACGTGGGAGAAAGCTGATGCTCTCACTGATAGCCATCCAACTGTTCCACATGTGGGGAACACGGCCATCCCCCACCAGCCAACAACTACAGTCCATCTGCTCGGACACATGAGCAAACCCAAGTGAGAGCAACCAAACCTGGCTCAGATTGTCAAGCCCACAAGCTGACCCTACTCTCAAAAGCAAAAATGAGCGTTTATTATCATGTGTTACTCAAGTTTTGTGACCTGCACTATTGCGGCCACAGTTAATTAATACATTATCATCTACCAAATACAGCATTTTTGCCTTTTCGTCAACATGACAGTAACATCATAACTTCCCACTGAATAACAGTATATAATTTACAAACCTCTTTTTCATATCAATTATTCCACTGATCCTTCCATAACCTAATGAAGTAATTAAATGCAAGGTATCCAATTTTAAATTCTTATTAATTTTTTTTTAAGACAGAATCTCCCTCTGTCACCACACTGGAGTGCAGTGGCACGATCTTGGCTCACTGCAACATCTGCCTCCTGGGTTCAAGCAATACTCCTGCCTCAGCCTCCTGAATAGCTGGGACTACAGGCAGGTGCCACTACACTCAGCTAATTTTTTGTATTTTTTAGTAGAGACAAGGTTTCACCATGTTGGCCAGGATGGTCTTGATCTCCTGACCTCGTGATCTGCCTGCCTCAGTCTCTCAAAGTGCTGGGATTACAGGTGTGAGCTACCTCACCCAGCCTAAACTTTTTTATTCAACTAATTCATATATAAAGGTCTAGAAAATCATAAGGAGAAAAGGCCCTTAATGAAAACCAACAGCCATCAATCATATCCCATTCACCATCCCTTCCATCCAGCTCCCAGAGGCAACCACTTTTAACTTTTTCAGCTATTTCTTCTGGCAGTTACTGCCTAACTCTATATTATGTGCTTATAATGTCACTTCTTTTTTCTTTTTTGAGATGAAATTTCGCTCTTATTGCCCAGGCTGGAGTGCAATGGTGTGATCTTGGCTCACCACAACGTCCACCTCCCAGGTTCAACCATACTGAATTCAGTATGGTTCATGCAGAACCATACCCAGTTAACTTCTGGGTTTTTAGTAGACATGGGGTTTCATGACGTTGGCCAGGCTGGTCTCAAACTCCTGGTCTTAAGTGATCCATTTGCCTTGGCCTCCTGAAGTGCTGGGATTATAGGTGTGAGCCACCGTGCCTGGGCTAAAAATCTCTATTATTTAGAGCTGAAACATTTAATCATTTTTTCTGTATTTTCCACTGCCTGCCTTCATGCTCTAATTTCCAGATAGCTTCAATTTCATCCTCCAATCTGTCTAGTTTTCATTTCTGTTGTTACACTCTTAATTTCCAAGAGCCCTATCCTCTGAATATTCCTGTTGATGGTATCCTACTCTTATTTCCCCATCAGATTATCTTTATTTCTCTACCAATATTTTAAAGTTTCTTCAAAAAGAGCTGATAGACAGGCTGAGTGGGTAGGTAGGGTTTGTGCACAGGGGCCATCACTGTTCAGTAGCCTATCAGTACTACAGGTCTTTCTGCTTGGATTAGTCAGATTCCACAAGAAAGTATACAGAATAGTTAAGAGCCTATGCCCTGAAATTAGGCTACCTGGCTTCAAATTGCAGCTCCAACTGTATGACCTTGGGCAACCTAACCCTAACTTTACCTTCCTTTTGTCCCAGGTTTTTTGTTGTTTTTTTTTTTTTTGAAACAGATGCTCACTCTATCACCCAGGCTGGAGTGCAGTGGTGCTAACTGCAACCTCTGCCTCCTGGCTTCAAGCAATTTACCCTGCCTCAGCGTCCCAAATAGCTGGGATTACAGGTCCCTGCCACCATGCCTGGCTAATTTTTGTATTTTTAGTAGAGTCAGAGTTTCACCATGTTGGCCAGGCTGATCTCAAACTCCTGACCTTAAATGATCTACCCACCTTGGCTTCCCAGACTGCTGGTATTACAGGCATGAACCACAATGCCCATCTTGTCCCAGTTTTTATCAATCTTAAAATGGAACAAATAATACTACCTACCTCCTGAGTGTTGTGTGGATTAAATAAAACAACACAGATCCAGGACATAAAACTACATTTGGCAATTAGCAAACATGCTATGAATACAGCTATTATTAATGTTGCACATTATGTTACTACAGTTGTCTTTTGTTTTTTAATTTTTTTTAATCTCTCTTGTTTTTTGATTTTTGAGACAGGATCTCACTGTTGCCCAGCCTGGAGTACAGTGGTGCAATCTTGGCTCACTGCTACCGCCATCTCCCAGGCTCAAGTGATCCTCTGACCTCAGCCTCCCAAGTAGCTGGGACTACAGGCATGTATTAGCTGTTCTTTTTTTTTTTGAGACAGAGTTTCGCTGTTGTTACCGAGCCTGGAGTGTAATGGCACAATCTCGGCCTACCGCAACCTCTGCCTCCTGGGTTCAAGCAATTCTCCTGCCTCAGCCTCCCGAGTAGCTGGGATTACAGGTTCGCGCCACCATGCCCAGCTAATTTTTGTATTTTTAGTAGAGACGGGGTTTCACCTTGTTGACCAGGATGGTCTCAATCTCTCGACCTCGTGATCCACCTGCCTCGGCCTCCCAAAGTGCTGGAATTATAGGCGTGAGCCACTGCGCCCAGCCTCTTCTTTTTTTTTCTTTTTTGGAGATGGAGTCTCGCACTGTCACCCAGGCTGTAGTGCAGTGGCTCGGTCTCAGCTCACTGCAATCTCTGCTTCCTGGGTTCAAACAATTCTCCTGCCTTAGCCTCCTGAGTAGCTGGGACTACAGGTGTGTGCCACCACGCCCAGCTAATTTTTTTTGTATTTTTAGTAGAGACAGGGTTTCCCCATGTTGGCCAGGATAATCTCAATCTCCTGACCTCGTGATCCATCTGCCTCGGCCTCCCAAAGCACTCGGATTACAGGCATGAGCCATCACGCCTGGCCCTGGCTAATTGTTTTTTTGTAGACATGGGGTTTTGCCATATTGCCTACATTAGTCTCAAACTCCTAGGCCCAGAAACTCAAAGTAACCTGCCCACTTTGGTCTTCCAAAGTGCTGGGCTTACAGGTGTGAATCACTGTGGCCTACAAGCAATTTTTAAAAAATCAATAAAATGGCCAGGCATGGCAGCTCACACCTGTAATCCCAGCACTTTGGGAGGCAGAGGCGGGTGGATCATGAGGTCAGGAGTTCAAGACCAGCCTGGCCAAGATGGTGAAATCCCATCTCTACTAAAAATACAAAAATTAGCCAGGTGTGGTGGCCAGCGTCTGTAATCCCAATTGCTTGAACCCAGGCAGCAGAGATTGTAGTGAGCCAAGACTGCACCACTGCACTTCAGCCTGGGTGGCAGTGAGACTCTGTCTCAAAAATAAATTTTTTTTGTAGAGACAAGGTCTCACGGTTTTGGCCAGGCTGGCCTAAAACTCCTGGCTTTAACTGATCCTACTGCCTCAGATTCTCAATGTGCTAAGATTACAGGCATGAACCACCACACCCAGCCTTGACATTCCTCTTTTTTGAGACAGAATCTTGTTCTATCACCCAAGCTGGGAAAGCTGGGAGGTTCAACGTGAACGTGGCTCACTGCAACTGCGATCTCCTGGGCTCAAGGATCCTCTTGCCTCATCTTCTCATGTAGCTGGGACTGCAGGCACACACCACCACACCCAGCTAATTTTTTCTATTTTTTATAGAGATGGAGTCACATTTTGTTGCCCAGGCTTTGCTTCCCACTTTGGGAAGCCGAGGTGGAAGGATCTCTTGAGCCCTGGGTCTTGAACTCCTGGGATCAAGTGATCCTACCACCTCAG